TCTATTTGGCTAACTTCATCATTTATTTGGGCCTGATCCTCTTTAAATTTTTCTAGTAGAGTCGCTATCTGTCGTAACCCGAATTATTTCGATCTTACGACCAATGGAATAGACTACCATTTTGAAAAATCTCATTAATTAAAAAATGTCCAAAGACCAGACTAATCCCTAATTAATGATTTTGAAAATAGGTTCATGGAATCGTCACCAATGTTTTACTCAAAACATTGGAAAAAGAAAAGATCTTTAAAAATTCAATAAAGGCCTTCATAGCCAGAATTGGGTTCGGGGGTCGGTTACGTGTAAGAAAGGTATTAAGCACTCCCACAACGCCCTAAATCAATACCCTATGACGAAGTTAGCATAATAATAAATAATATTTTAAATATTAATTCCCTTTAACATATAGTTATTTACATACTTGAAGTTATTTACATGATTTATCCTACAACGCCTACATGATTATTTTTATTTAGAAACGCATTTATTAAAATAAGGAAGTAAGGGAGGAAGAAAGATATTGATTGGAATACCTCTTAGTCGAGCTTTATTGAATCTTCGAATGTAGAGATTCTTTAGGCGCTTTTTGTCTACCTTACACACTACAACACGTCTCACTAATCTCAAGAATTACAAGGAGAGGGAGAGAAAGAGAATTTCGAGCTATCTAAGACTTCCTAGGTAAATTTTTCGATCCCTTGAGCAATGCTTGATGCTGCTATTTATAGACGTCAAAATTGACCAGAACGACCCGTTCTGATTTCGGAATGACCCGTTTTGGTCTAGTTTGTTAAGGCTGAAATTTGAATCTGGACCAACCTGTTCTGAAACTGGAATGGTCCATTTCATATTTTAATTTTACTCATAACAAACTATGTCAAAACGGCCCGTTCTGAATTGGGAATGACCCGTTTTGACATAGTATTTCTAAGCCTTTTTTAGGAATTTGAAACGGCTTGTTCTGGGCTACTAAATCACCCTTATTGGATTTTGGGCTTTCTGATGTCATATCGTGTCGTTTCTAGGCTTTTAAGAGCTCTTTTTCTTCATAATAAAAGTCCATTTCGTTGTTTGTAGGTCCGGACGAAATTAGATGTCTACAAGTATCAAGGTGTTATTTTGCATATACAACAAGCAAGGAACCTTTTGAGGACACAAAAGGAGGTTTGAAGGATGTTAGCCAAAAAAATCAAAAAGGGTACAATTAATATATCACAAAAAATATTTTACCTCACCAGTAGGTGGGGTAGTGATAGAACGAAGCCCTCACATCAATCAAGGTGGAGAGTGTTTGAATCTAAAAGGGGAGACGATGAGATATGATGTACAACAACAAATAGAGGTTTATGTTGATGAAAAGGTTGAAAGAGATAAAGTTGTGGAGCTAGGAGGGAATATATCAAATAATAATTTTTACAAGTCAATGTTAAATGGGCAACAATCTATTGGGCCAATCAATAGCACGATGGGCCCATATAAGCCACCTACTTCTTGTAACTTTACTAGGCCTAAAGTAGTTGTCTGTGTAAGCTTGAAGGATGCATCTAAGGAGGATTGGCACCTTGTTAATAAGAGGAAAATAGGGGTACATTATTCCCATAAAGCCCAATCTATTGACTGTTTGTGGAAGGGAAGTATATCCACTAATGGCCCCTATTGTAAAAACAACAAAAGGAGCTAAGAAGAAATGTGGTAAGTAAACTAAAAACACTGGCCATATTTAAGTATTATTTTCTAGACCCAAACATAGAGTGAAATTCGTGAAAGTTGTAACCAGTCGTAAAGAAGAAAGCTTTAGGCAGGAGAAAAGGGAGTGTAAGAATATCGAGGAGACAAGTGTTGGTAAGGGCCCCTCTCATGGTTGCAAGAAGAAACCTTGTAACTAAGATATCTCTATTGGGTCTCAAAGTTTGACAGAGGATGATCTCATTACTTCTAGTGTAAGGTTTCATCGCTAACCTTAACCTTCCTCTATGGCACACTCTAGTAACCTGAGTAATCAAGCTAATGGTGTTATGTGCATTAAAAATAATTACCATGAAGCAAAATAATTATGGTTTTTTGGTCAAATGATGAGGGTTACATCAAAGAAAGAGGATGAGATTGTTGTCGGCATAATGGTCTAACTAGAAGAAAGGGTTTATGACAAGAGGTAGACATTTATTGATGGTTTACAGAAGGGAAACATAATTAATTGTTGATTAATGAAAGTCATGTCCTTTAATATTAGGGGCCTAGGGGGAAGTTAAATGGAGGAAATTGATAAGTATAATGGTGTTTAAGGGTTGATTTTATTTTCTTACAAGAAATTAAAGTTGTACATATAAAGAAGAATGATTGTACTTACATATGGGGTGATTTTGAAATTGAATGGGAGAGTAGTCCAACTATAAATAGTACAAGAGTTTACTTTGTTTATTAGCGAAAGGATCTTTCAAAGTATTATAGAAAGTGGTGAGTGGTGGTTTTATAGAGCTAAAATGCAATGGTTTCCTAAATCCTATTGAAGTTTTTAACATTTATTCTCCTTGTAATATTGATGAAAAAAGAGCTTTATGGAATGATCTTTCATTGGAAAAATCTAGATTTTTGGAGAAGATTTGGTGTGTTGCAGAGATTTTAACTCTATTTGGTGTAGGAGGAATGGAAGGGTGTGCATGGAAGTGCTTCAGGTGGAGAAAGAGAGATAGAGAAATTCGATGAGTTTTTAACTAATATGAAAGTGCTAAACATTCCTATGATTGGTCGAAAATTTACTTAGTATAGGAGTGAGGTGTGGCTAAGAGTAGATTGAATAGAATTCTTATGCCTAAAGGATGGCCCGAGAAATGGTCGATATCTTCTCAATAAATCCTTAATGGGATATATTTTACCATTGTCCTCTTGTCTTAAGGTATAAGGAAATTGATTGAGGCCCTAAGTCATTTAGGGTCCTTAATGTATGGCTTTTGAAACCATCTTTTGGCAAGCTGGTTAGAGAAGTACATGGAGGCTTGAATGTGGTTGGGTGGGGGCTTTTCAACTTAAAGAAAAATTGAAAGCTCTTAAGAAAAAGATTAGGATATGGAATGAGAAGCATTTTTTCTTTTTGGATGTCCAACGCAAAAAACTTGTGGAGAAAGTAGGGAACTTTGATATTAAAGATAAAAGTATAGGCTTATCTCAACAAGTGGAACTTATAAGAGATTTACTTGAAAATTTTTGGAAGTGGCCAAAAAACATGAATCCCTACTTCATCAAAAGTATAGGAATTGATGACTCAAAGGGGGTGGCAAAAACACCAGATATTTTCATTTTAACATCAATTGGAGAAGTAGATTTTATATTATTCAAAGTCTTTTGAAGAATGGTAGATGGATTGATAATCCTAATCTTGTCAAAAAAGAGGTGAAGACTTTTTTCCATGAGAGATTCAAATAGGTTGGTGAGGTGAAGGTTGATTTGGAGGGTGTGAACGTTGGAGGCTTGATGTTATTGATAATAGTTTGCTAGTTACACCTTTTTTGGAAATGGAAATCAAGGAAGCGATGTGGGATTGTCGAGGTGATAAAAGCCCCAACCCAGACAAGTATAATTTCAATTTTATTAAGCTTTTTTGGGAAACTCTTAAAGGAGACATATGTAAGACCTTTAAAGATTTTCATGTGAATGGGAAACTTCCAAGTGGCACAAATGCTTCTTTCATCACCCTTATACTAAAAAATGAGAACTCTCAAAGCCTACAAGTTTTTAGACTCATTTCTCTCATTGGTTGTATTTACAAAATCATAGCAAAATTACTATCAAAGAGAGTGAGAATACTTCTTAAAAAAGTTATTGGTGAAGGGCAATCAACATTTTTTTTGGGGGGGGAACAAAACCAGAAAACCAGAAAAGGGTATCAATCATGGGTTGTTGAGAACAACGGTTCAGTCGATAGTGGTGGCCGAGGAGAAGCACAGACGAGTTTTGGTGGATGGGATGACTTGGAGAGGTCAAGACCG